AATTAGGAAAGTCAACCCTAGTTTCGGCCAGACCTGTTATTATATTATTAATATAATTGGAAAAGACATAAGTGCCCTTATTTAAGTAAGAGGCACTCGAAMTAAYATAATAGYACACATCAGCATTCTCAACAGGTACAAAGACCGAAATACCCCTTCACTAATAGAAATAAAATGTTGCCATGGATAAAAGGAGATGAATATGTAAAATGAACTAAATGCCCATCCATTCGGATACATTCAGAGGTTAGACCACTTGAATTTTAGCCTCTGCTAGAGGTTTGTGATGCTGAGAAAATTATAATTTCAATTCAATATCCAAGTGAGTTGTCAGGGAATGCAACTATGATCAGATGGAGGAACAACTCTTGTTTCAGAACTTCTGGGATTGGAATCATTCAAATTCAAAACCAGCAAAATATCTGCTACCTGACCAGTGATCTCTGGACTCCATTTGAAATAACACCCATCGTGTAATAATCTCTTATAACATACAGTAGATAATTGCCTCTCATTATAGAAAACACGATAAAAAAAGAACGATGACATTTTTTTCACCAAACTTGAAAATAGCAAACAAATATCCACAGATGAGCATTGGCTATTAAAGAAGATAAACGGCGATGAGCCGATGAAGGCAAATCAAGCTACAGATCAAAATTTACATTCTCATAAATTCAATATGCTAGAAACCTGTGCATCAGTACCACTTGAAACCCTAATGCATCAATGGAATCTGAAAAAAAAATGAGAAATGGCGGTTGATTATATCTGAACGTGGTGAAGAACGACAAATATTGATGAGAAAGGAGAACACAGTGAAGAACATGAACATAGTGAACGATGAGTCGCGATTAGTACTTCTGAAGAGAAGAAGAAGAACATACCTGTGTCGATGCTCTCAGTTGCTGGGTCAGAGTTTCTCTCAGTCGAATTTTTGCGAGATGTATTGGGAAGCTGAGAAGCCTGAATAGACCATAAGCTTGGCCTGGAGCTTCTCAGATCCAGACCACTTTGGTCTTTTAGGGTATTTTTTGGGATCCTATCTTTTGGTCTAGCAGGCTTTCACGAGCCAAACAGGAAAAGACCATTTTTGGTCTACTGGGCTTCTAAAAGCCCAGGAGATCTTTCAAAAAGACTTACAAAATATGGCCTCAGTCTATGAGCATCTGCAATTGATCCTTGCAGATCAAATCTGGGCATCTAGGTTCACATAAACCTGGTTTAGAGTGATCTCAGATCTGCTGCTTCTTTCAAATGCCATTAGTTGGTACATGCAGATCATTGTTTTTTTTTTTTTTTTTGATAATTTACATGCAGATCATTGTTTATACTTTATAGTAGCAGTTACTGAGACAGGTTTATTTATAGAACTACTTCTGTCCCTTCCAGTCAATGTAGAACTAAGCCACATGATCGAGGTACACCCAGTGATTTAAAAGGCGCACCTAGGCACCCAGGTGAGGCGCATTTTAGGGTAGGCGCCTCGCCCAGGTCCTAGGCGCAGCCCTTTCAAAAGGCGCATGCCTGGTGTGCGCCTTGCGCCTTGGGTGCATGGCACAAAGGCATTTGGGCTTGCCTCGATGGGCGTGGCACAAAGGCGGCTCGTAGAATCAGGAATGTTATGTTTTACATCACATTAGCTACTTGAAGTAATGCAATTGAGAAAAAAAGAGATTGTGGGTTTTATATGTTTGATTTTATTTTTAAATTCTCATTTGAATATGCATTACATGTTATATTTATGTATTTTAATTTTAGATAATAGGTTTTTTAAAACATTTATTTTAAAATTTAAGTTTATATTTTTATTAATATTATGTTTAATAACTTTTTGATTTTTTTTTGAATTTTTAGCTTTATTTTTTATTTTTTTGCGCCTTGCTTAAAAAGGCATGCGCTTCGCCTTGTGCCTCTCAGGTGCAAATTGACCCCTGTGCCTTTTTTGCGCCTTGCGCTTTTAAAACACTGGGTACACCATTAAGGAACTGTTGTATCTTTATCAATGGGTCTAGATTATCCTTAAAAAATAATTTTTGGTTCCAGGACCAAGAAAAAGCATAAGAAAAGATGTCTAGTATATCTGATCAATCCAATAATGTCTGAATATCTGAATGATGTCTTCCAAAATAAGTCAAATAAGAGATAGTAGGAGAGAACTCAGATCTATGGTGGGTAATGCTCTAATACCACATTATCTGCCATAGGAAGAGAAGAGAACAAACAAGAGAAGGGATTGGAGGAATTTTAGGCTAAAGATAAAAAGATGTAAAAGGACAATTCTACCCTTGATTCTAATAGTACACATATTACGCAATCTGTTTTATTTTATTCTGTCAAATATCATACTCTTGGGTTGAGTTGATTTACAATCTCTTTTCTGTTTATTTTCTCACTATTTTGTAATAAAAAAATAGAAACTTCCTGTAATCAAGGTTATTCCTTAAATCAGCCTCATAATGGCCCTGCTTATTAGCTTATATACTGTATAATCATCCTACCCTAACCTCTAAACTTTAGACTAAATCTTCAAAATTCCCTGACACATCTCATTTAAAATAATCATGTGTTATCCTGAACTTATTTGCTTTTATTGTAGTCCCTTATTAAGTAGTCCAGTCTTTGATGTAATCCACAATTGTCAGCACTAATAAGCTCAATCTGTTCTATTCAACCAGTCATTATTATATATAAAATCCAGTTTGTGCGATTGCTAGGATAGAAACCTAGTTCTTCTGTACTATTATGAACCTTGATAGTTGAACATTAATTCTCTGGATTGGATACCAGAAGGCGTTAATACAAATTACAAGTTTACACAGGAATTGAATATCCTACTTGACGTACAAGTTTGTCATTTTTGATGATGCATGTTAAAATTTTCTTGCTCAATCAAATGTCTAAATCAAACAAGTAAACAACGATTGCTTTTGGCATGTGTACAATATAGCAGCTCTTTCTAGTTAACTGTTCTTAAATCCAAATAGACTAATTTTATAATTATCTATTGATGAAACATTGACTTACAATTTCTTAAGCTGGCAGATGAAATTTATTTAAGTTGATGCTGACGCTTACAACTGCAGGCTAAAATAAAGGAAGCTTTATTGGTTGAGCGACTCAAGAGATATGAAGTTTCCAAACTTCAAGGTCCAGTTGTTGAACCAGAAAACCTGACTGGTGAGGAAAGGTTCTACATGAAAAAGATGGCCCAGAAAAGGTCTAACTATGTACCAGTTGGAAGAAGAGGGGTTTTTGGGGGTGTTATTCTCAATATGCATTTGCACTGGAAGAAACATGAAACGGTTAAGGTCATCTGCAAGCCTTGTAAACCTGGTCAGGTGCACGAATATGCAAGGGAAATTGCTCGATTGAGTGGTGGGACACCAATTCAGATAATTGGGGATGACACGATAATATTTTACAGGGGAAAGAACTATGTTCAGCCAGAAGTTATGTCGCCCATAGATACCTTATCCAAGAAAAAGGTATGTTTTCCAACTTACACACAAAATCTCAACTCTATTCATGATGAGTGATTTCAGTGCCCCCAAGATTTTGACTAAGGCTGTTTTTGGTTGGAAAGAATAGGTAGGGAAAGGAAGGGAAAGGTAGGGAAACCTGTATGTAAGTGGAGAACTCTCCTAGTAGGAAAGAGAAAACAAAAATATTGCTAAAGACCAAAGGATTCATTTAGCCAATGTTATTAAGGCCAATATGTTATTGGTTATTTCAGTCGTATCACTGGATTATCACAAATTAGGATAGGGCATCTTTCTTTGTCTTTATTTTATTTTCCCTTTTCATGTTTCCAGCATTTTCTTTGTTATACATTACGGATCTTTTTTGCTTATTAAATAACTGTCCTTGTTATGCATCCCATGATACTTACTAATGTTTTTTTCCATTTTTTCTAGGCACTGGAAAAATCAAAGTATGAGCAGTCACTTGAGTCAGTGAGGCGCTTCATTGCTATAGCTGAGAAGGAACTAGAATTGTATTACAGGCATGTTGCACTTTATGGTGACCCGTGCAATCGTGGTTCCCTATCGTCTTTTGCTAGTCCAACAAAAGATTCTAATGAGCTAGAAATCCCTGAAAATATAAAATCAGAAAAGCTTGACTCAACTAGTAATGGCTTCTCAGAAAACCTTTTAGAGATGGAAGAAAATTTCAGTTGCCAAAAGTTATCAGAAACTGACCTTGAATCTGAAGATACAGACTTGTTAGGAAGTGACATTGACTTTGAAGACAACAATGATTATAGTGAATTTGAATCTGATAATGAAGAAAGTGATCCACGAGAAGGCTCTGCATCAGTTTTAGGTTCACCAGCGATGGTTAGATAGAGGTGGGGCTGAACCAAAATGTAGCAAATGACAGATTATGGAACTTGAATCTTAGATTGTACTGAGTTTTTCCTTTTTTGTTTAATTAAATGGAGGAGGTTATCTGTTTTGTAACTAAGATTAATTGAAAGTCATCCTGTTTTGCAAAACTTCTGAAGTGGCTGGAGAGTGGAGAGTTACCCTTTTGATTTCAAAATTATACAAGCATGGTGCTATTCATAACATAATTTCAAAAACCATAGCAAATAGAATGAAGCCTCTTTGTGTGTATCAGGTCATTTTTGTTCCTGAAAGGCAGGTCATTGAACCTCTAAGGCTCTAACTAGGTCCCAAGTGCTGAACCTCTAACTAGGTCATTTTCTTCTCTCCCCATATCTCTAGGTCCCAAGTGCTGAACCTCTAACTAGAAACATAATGAGGAGATGGGAACAAGTGAAAATAATCTTATCTTGGGTTAAAAGCATCATTCAAAAGTGGCTCTACTATTCCCATCTTATAATTGTGTTTTATATGCAAAAGCATCAATAACTGCATGGTCAAAGCCCAAATTGCAATAAGTCAACGATTGAGTTCTCAGATAATATCCATAGAATAGAAGGCATCAAAAAACTTTTGGCAGGTCTCCTTTAGATACCAGTAAAAACCGTAAGGAAAAATTAGGTTAGACTGTTAGAGAATCCTCACTAAAAAGAAAAGCTCGTGGGTAGAAGTTATGAAGAAAAAATACGAAATTCTAAGAACTAAACCTACAAAAGATCCTTTGTGGGCTTGGAAAGGGATTTTGTTCCACAGAGAAGTAATAAAAGAGGCTATTTGCTAGAAGCTAGGAAATGGAGAAAGGATTAACCTCTTAAAAGACACATGACTAAAATCTGGCCCAATTATAAGAAAAATTAACCGACTATTTAACTAGAACGAATGAAATTAACAATTCAACTTAAAGTGAAGGCAATTTACTAAAATACCTTTTATATTTTTACTGATTTACTAAAACTTACCTATAGATTGAATTTTTACTAAAATACCCGCTATGGTTTACAACCGATTTACTTAATCCACTTTTCATACGAAAACCAAATGGAAGACCAATTCCTTACAGTTGACCCCCACCTAACCCGATTCCAAGGTCCAGTAGTTTACACTCAGGTGATGAAAATGATCATTGCTGTATAGACAAATAAAAATCTCAGAACATTTCATTCCTCTAGGTGATACACTTTTCATTGCTGTATGAATGCTGGATTAAACTTTTAGGCCATGTTTGGTTTGAAGGAAAAGATAGGGAAAGAAAAGGAAAATTAGAAAAACTTATATAAGGTTTGTAAAGATTTTCCTACCTTTCCTTTCCTTTCCCTACCTTTTTCCTTTAAATCAAACATAGCATTAAGGCTCAATGTGGTAAAACCCCAGGCTGACAAGTCTGAGAAAATCCACTTTTAATTTGTAAACAAATGACAAAGATCAAGTCAATTTCAAATCCTTTACAACTTTTCTAATGTGGAAAGGCTTATATATACATGAAATTAAGAGAAGCTACCCCTCCATCAGGGAGATTATGTTTTCTGTGATCACCGTCGCATGACAAACCGGAGACCCTCCGGTGATTTTTGAACATGCCAGTGATTTTTAAATACTAAACTGATATTTGATTACAAAAAAATCATCGGAGAAGTACAGATACACACGATGCAGAATTTTGAATTCCAGCCCCCCCTATAAACCACATCCTGCCCGTAAATTTGGCATCAATTCATGGTCAGGATGCTTTCCCCTTGTACTTGGGGCTATAAAATTCTGATCTGGGCTGATTGGTCATTCTCCCAAAAATCATTGGGGTCTCGTGTTTGTCATGCGTCCATGGTTGCAGGTAATATGATCCCTCCATCAGGGGTATATTTTGGGACTTAATATCCAATCCACCCCTCCCAAGATCCTGTTAACAATATTGAGGCAATGGCCCTTGGTGGATTAGGCTTTTGACATATAATCAAAGGCATGGTTTTTGAACCATTGTTGATTTGGACGGTTGGAGCGTTTGGCCCAGAAACTGTCCATGCAATTGGTTCCGTTTTACCCCTAACTCAGTTTTATGTCAAAAACCTTGACTTGGTCAGTGACCCATCAACCTGGGTGGTCAAATTGTTGAGCTGTTAGACCCGGTGAACGGTTTTTACCATTTTGTTTCAATTATTTCTTAAATTGTGATAGGCTATCTGTTCGAACCAGACGATCAAACCGCTGATGTGGAAACCAGTGGCCAAAATGGTTCCGTTCTGAGTCGAATTTTAAAACTTTGATCAAAAGCATTCAGTCACCTAAAACCATACCTAACTAGTAACTCTAATCAACAAAAGGTTAATGTATGGGTTGTAAACATAATATTAGTGCTTTACAATTAAAGTATAACTGACTGATTTGTTAATTTACAGATAGAATTATAACAAGTAATGGAAATGAGGTCCTTGTACTGAATTGAGATGTTCATATGTTAGCAAAAACTTGATAGAGTTTGGCATCTATGACTATTTGTCGAACTGAAGATATTGCTCCAAGGACCCCCAACATGGAGAAAAGCATAGCAATGGCTGTGTTTCCCCAAAACAAAAGAGCCTTTCTTGAAGGCTTGAAGGTCACATTGTAGAACACCATTGGCAGGACAAAGTCTAAAGGAATGCAACCAAATGCTCCAATCAAAGCATTAATGTCTCCAAAGAAGGGAAACATTGCTGCAAGAATCGTTGCTACAACCACCAAAAGTGATCGTAAAAACAACCTTGGCACAACTTTGCGAATGGAGAATTGATTGCTCTTAGGATCTCCATATTTTTTCTCCACCAACTCGTTCGTTGGCTGCAAGTAAACCTGCACAAATCAATACAAATGATTAAATTGGGATATACATGAGCTATTGGGCCCCTTCTTTTACAAAATGAGTTAATTCTGGTTTCAAAAGAAAAAAAAAAAGAGTTAATAGTATATAAAGGTTTGTTAGTGTTCTTGTAATTTTTGCTATATTTTATTATTTAAAAAGGTAAATGTCATAAACCAGTATTTATAATAACTTTAGTTTAAAATACTTATTTTATCAACAATAAACAGTTTACTATTTATAGTCATTTTTATTTTTGTTAAGATTATATTATTAAAAGTGACATTCCAAGTTATTATCACAGGTAATTATGAATGTCAAGTACCACCCCTCCCCTGGAATAAAGTTAGGTGTTTTAAAAAATAAAAGGGTACGTAAATTGCTGAAACCTCCTCTGAAGTTTCTTGTTGTTGCTGAAATTTCTCTTCAACTTTTTGATATTGTTGCAAGTAGATTTCCTTTATTATAATTCTCTAAAAAGAGGCATGAAAATGTCCAAAATATCATGCAATTACTTTTTACCCATTATTTATTTTCCAAATTTTTTTTACATATGGATTGCTAGTCCAAATCCTTCCTGTTTTTTTTTTTCTGAAATTGATTTATTTTCCAAATTTTCCCTTTATATCAATCACTCAAACGTAAAGCTGCAACTTTAATTCTCTCTTTTTGTTGTTTGTAAAAGTTTTATTGTTGTTTTTTTTTTCTGTAGAAAACTGCATGGACATTTTTACACTTCTTGTTAGACGATTCTAACAAAAGGGGTCTATTTGCGACTGTCATAAAATTCAGGAGAGGTGATTACAATTACCAAACTTCAGAAGAGATTTCAACAACGGTCAAAAACTTCAGGGGAGGTTTTAAAAATTTAGCTAAAATAAAAAATAAAGTATAATGAGGTTGTACCAAACCTGATTATCAAATTAATATACTGCTTAGATAGTGGGTCCCCCCTTAAAAAATAAATAAATAAATAACAGACAAAAGACAAAATATGTCTAAGTTTCCCCCTATGATCGAGTACAGGGCCATTCATTAAATTGCTAATGTAACTAATAACATACTACGCACACAGCTGATACTTGTAGGAGAGTAAAGATACTAGTGATCAAAATCAGCCACTTGGGAACCAAAGGATTCCCATTGACCATGAAGTTTCCCAAGATAGTTCCCTTTGCTTTATTACCAAAAGCCCAATACCCCGAAATGGCAACAGTGAAGAAAGTTAGAATTACTACTGCATAACAAAGGCATAGTCCTTTGAACATCTTCCCCTCAACAGGGGGTGCAATGGTTGCCTGCCAAAAGCAAAAAAAAAAAAAAAAGTTCAATTGAGTGTGTTATGCTATCATGACATACAATGTGGAGTCTATTATGAGTTCACATCAGCGCCGCACAGAGCACACCCCACGGGCGCCCCACATCCACATCTCGGCGTGCATTGGGAACACCTCCCGTAGTTGTCAACAGGAGATGTTCCCAATACACAGTTGGAATGTGCTGTGGTCTATATTATCTTGAGAAAAACCTGTATTTCAGGAATGATCCCATTCCCGTATGTGGTGGCAATGATGGAAATGGCATTAAAAGCACCAAACAATTGATCTTTGCCATCTCCATTCACAGAAGAGTCCTTGGGTGGAGCATTGACAGAGTTTCCTGAGACAAAATTGAGTGAAGTAATAAGTTTTTGTATTTGAGAAAAAAGTTTAATGACCAAATGGTTGTTCTTAGTTCTTACCTATGTAAGTGGAGTCTATGGTAGCACATGTGCTATAAGCAAGGCAAAGAGTTAATGAAATAAGGTTGATATGTCTTAGGGAGTGGAAAGATGGTATTTGAGCCAAAATCAACATCAAGACTCCGAAAATGGCAACAAACTCGTAAAGTTTCATGGTGCCACTTGAATTGCAGAGCAAGTAAATGAACTGCAAAAGAAAAAAAAACACAATTATATATACTTGTTAATCAATGGAACTACAAAGATTTTTATCATTCTATTTTCAAATCCTATTTCAGCAGTTATCAAAGCCACTCAATCTGGAAATAAAAGCCACTACAAGTAATGTAGCCTAAGATTTAAGTATAAAGAAGGAAAAAAAGAAGAAAAAAACTGACTTTGAGACTCTGCCCTCCAAGGAGAGTGCAAGCAATGACAGCAGCATAGCATAGAGAGAATTGAAGTGGGCCTACAAAATAACGCCCCCATCTTGGCCCTGACAAATTAAACCACAGAGTACACACTACATCAGAAAAGTAAATCCAGCTGCTATATTAGTAGTAATACCACAGCATTGAAAAAATGTTATATTGATAAGGTTTGCAAAAGCTCTTAATTGTAGTTAGCTTGGTGTAGTCCAGATTGAGCCTCAATTTGGGTCTTAGCTCTTAGGCTCAGTTTGGAAAGAGTACAAATACAAATATATAGAGTGCAAATCTATGTATTTTGTATGTATTTGCACTGTACATATTTGTATTTATACCTCCCAAACTGAGCCTTGGCCTTGAAGTAGTTCCTAAGAGAGCTGAGCTGAGCTCAGTTCATTAAGAAGTTATAGCAAGAGTGTTTTATGAACGGGCAATTACTCAATGATGGTCCTGGCTATCCGGGGTCTTGGGAGGGTGAAATGGGTATGATATATATGAACCTAATCTTTGGAAATTTTAGTACAAACCGGATGCTCTCAGACTGATGGAACCCCTATCTTCATGCTCGACAGACTGAGAATCAGTAACCCAGTTAATCTATATATTAACAATTTCATACCGATTGTGATTTCAGTGTTTATTCACCTAAGATATCGCTGGCCATATCCCTGAAACGAAGTTGGCGCTGACCAAGTTGGGCATGGTGTTCAAGCACCTTGGAGAGAAGATTGTAAGAATAAAATGTGACTAGAACAGCAATTATCAGGCAGGAAACTCCAGCAACCCAGCCCAACAAAGCAAATGCAAAGGGTAAGCTCAGAAGGGCTGGAGCTACAATAGAAGTCGTTAAATGGTATCCACAGTGTAGCCATGACCCTGCAATTTAAAGCATAAACACGCTAGCTCCGTCAAATTTCCATAATCTCTCTCTCTCTCTCTCCCTCTCTCTTCAATACTTCACAGTCTACATTACCTCTGGATTTTAGAACAAAGAGAGCTTCGGCATCAAGCTCCTTATGATGTTGGGTATCTGAAGAAGAATAATCCAACCCAGCTTCCACTGTCCCCATTAATTTCTCTCAGCGTAGCGTAGGAAGATAATTCAGATACAAGGAAAGAAATTAAATACTTGTACTAGTGGAGTCCCCTTGGTGTCTATGATCTCCATTTTATAGTATGAACACGGGAAAATTATAGCATGAATGCCAGTAAAATGAACGCTCTACCTTGGAATATTCTTCGCCCTATGTGATAGGATAGGAACCAATAATTAAACATGAAAAGACAAGTTATGAAACGAAGTCTTTGGACATGCCTTTCATGGTCCACTCTGCAGGGAATCAAACAAATCTAGGAGGTCAATAAGAGTAGCAAATATTTAATATTCCGGTAAAAAATACACTCCCCATACTCTTCCCTAAAACCAGTGTTCTCGGCTTGGACGGCCTGATCGTGAAAATCAGGAGCCGATGGCCTTTCTGGGTTTTGGTTAAATGACAGTGTTGGCGGATGGAGAGAAAAACCACCCGGTTAACTGATAAAACCATGGTTTTTAAAACCGAAGCGGTGACCGAACTGGTCAGGGGTCCAGTTATCGGTTCGAAAGGTCCGATCGTTCGACTAGAATGGTTGGTCCGTTCTGACAAAAAAAATAAAAAAAATTTAAAAAATTAAAAAACGATCAAAACTGTTCGAACGATTAATCAGCCAGTTCAGCGATTTACTGACCAAAATCAACGGTTTTAAAAAAAAAGGCGATTTTAGGGGAAAATGGAATTTTTCCGGTCCGTTTTTGAAAACCATGGATAACACCAGGACCCATTCCGAGTCTTAAAACGTTGTCTAAAACAGCAATTTGGCGCACAGTGTTGGCGGATGAAGCACCTCTCTAGTCTCTACCTATTCTCTGCATTCCAACCTGCCACGGTTAGTACTGGATTTATCTCAGGCTAGGTTTGGGCTGGCAAACTGTAGCTTTGACATCGTGTTGGATCATGTCATGGCTTCAGGTCCGGGTCTTTAGGTTGGGTCTGGTTTGACCCTAAACGTGATCCAACCCGCCTAAGTTGCAGCTAGGGGTGCAACTTGGGCGGGCCCAACCCAGCCCACAATTTTATATGGACTGGGTTTGTTGGGGAAGATGGGGTCACTGTAACTTTGGAGAAGAAGCTCTGAGGCGCGTCTGAAGACACTGTCTTTAGAACGTTATTTCCCCCACTCAGTTTTACTGAGTTTGCTGTTGGGTTACAGGCAAATTCGTTCCCAGGATACAATAGAGCTTTGGGCGAGAATCTGCAACCAGTAAAGTTGAAGAGTCTCCAGAGAAACCTTCTGTGAGACTGTAGCATACCGGACTGAGAGAGAGAGAGAGTGAATTTTGAAATTGTGTGATTTGGAGTCTGATTCATGCTCCTTAAATAATTTGTGAAGAGGTATGAAGAAAAGGTAGGTGCTGGTTTAGAGAAGGCACCTTGAACAGTCACAATTTCAAACATTGTGACTGTTTAAAAAGTAGTTAACAGTTGGTGACTGTTAACTTTGAATTGTGCCTCTTGATCACACCCGATCGAATCGTGACCGTTGATCTCATCAACGGTCATCAATACACCAAAACTAGAGCCGTCCATCGCGAGCTACGCGGGTGTGAGCAAAGTGCGCCCGCGCGTTGCGCGGTATCGAATCCCCATACTCTCCTCTACTAATTCTAAGGAATGTAAATCAGCTCCTATTGAAATACTGAAAACAAAACTTATAATTTTCCAATGTGAGACAAGTTCAAAACTAGGCTTTTGTAAGAGAAAAACTGATTTTTAAATCAAGTGTGTAGGTGCAATTTCTCATGTAATTGACCAATCAAACCCATTGGATTTAATCTCTTATGAGATTAAAATCCAATAGGGTTTAGGTCCAAAAGTTTGGGCTTTTAATTTTTTTCATTATGAGCTCAGGCCTAGCCCTTAAAAAGCCCGAACTCGGTTTGGCCTTATTCCAATCCGAGCCTGGTCTGATTATATATATGTATATGTGCATATATAGACATATTTGTATGCATACATGCATATATGCAAATTTTTTTTTAATAAATTATACATACATGCATGCATATATTTTAGTGTGGCTAATTGACCATCCTGAGTGCATCAAATTTTAGTGTGGGCTGGGCTTACACTGAATAGTTAGAGAGCTTGACCTTATAACTAATTAGAACAGATAGCCAAGTTCAGGTTGGGTTCTTTTTGGCATCTGAATAGTGAGTAGTGTTACTGGGTCAAATGATGGTAGGAGATAGGGGTGGGACAGGACAATTCGCAGGTGACGCCTAGTGGCCATAAGACGTAGCATGGTTTTTAAAACCGGATTGGAAGGATGGTCGGACTGAAAAAATTGGGAACTGGTCAGGTGACTGGTTCATTTCCCCAAAAACTGGATTTTCCCCAAAAACCGTTGATTTTGGTCAGCGAACTACTGAACCGGGCGATTAATCATTTGAACGATTTTGACCGTTTTTTATTTTTTTAATTTTTTATCAGAATGGGCTGAACATTTGATTCAAATGGTCAGATCGTTTGACCCAGTAACCTGACCACTAAACGGTTTGATTACCGGGTCGGTTTTAAAAACCATGAGACGTAGAGTAGAACTATCAATAGGTTAGGTCTGATCTGGGGCATGGTGGACAAGTTCCTGAACTAATCTGACAACTACGCGGTACCAAACCAAACCCTAAAACGAGACCAATTGTTAATGGAGCAAACAGGTTTGATCAGATTATATTTTATATCTATGGTTACCTAAACTTCATTCTTCTTCGTAATATTAATCTTAATATTATCAAAAATACCTTAATATAAAGACATAAGGCTCCATTTGGAAGAAGTAAAAATACAAATATATAGAGGGCAATACATTATATTTTATATTATTTTGCATATATTTGTACTGTACATATTTATATTTATAGTTTTGTACTCCTTCCAAGCCTAAATAGAAAGCTGTTTATATGTAGGCAAAACATGTGTTTTTTTTTTTAAATTAAAATTATCTTATATGCCGTCCATTAAATTTACCATAACATAAAGTACAACAAAAATTAGAAGATAACCATGAGATCTTTATGTATTGTTAAATATTAAATTGGTTTAGGCTTTCATCAGTTTAGAACGAAAAAAAAGGTTCATTATCAACCAAAAAAAAAAAAAAAAACAAAAGAACGAAAAAAAATTCCCAACCAATTATAATTGGAACGCAAAACTCATAACCAAGGCCAGTATAATTGGTTTGGTATCAGGTAGATCCAACCCATTGACAGCTCTAACGTAGAGCCTGCAGTTATGCAAGTTTGATCCTGCACTTCCAATATTTTATTTTTAGCTTTTTGTTTTTTCATTTTTTTACATGTGATTTTTTTTGTTAATAAGCAAATCAATTGACAGCTCTATGCTAGATTTTGAAGTCACACAGGTTTGATCCTCCACCTCCAAAATTTTTATTTTCTTTTAACTTTTTATTTATTTTTATTTTTTACATGTGATTTTTTTGATAAGCAGAAGGCTTAAATTAAAGGGGTTTTTATTGTTCAGTCTACCCCATAAATTTTAGTACAGTTTGTACAATTGGAACAGTGATAGGTGGAGAATGAATCAAAATTTACGGGGGGTAGTGAATCATAGGTGGAGGTGTGGAGGGTTGGGTAAATAAAATTGAAAAACTAATGAAAGTTTCTTAGGTGGACTGAACTCTAAATTTCACTAAATTTTAAATGAAAACAAAATGAACAGAGTCTATAGCATCCCGAAGCCAAGCTGGATAAGTAGGAAACCACACATGGTCCTGATAAAAAAGTTTTAGCAGCTTGGGCCAGAATTTGCATCGCGCCCCACATTCCGTCCCAGCTATGTATTGGGAACATCTCCCCATGACAAGTAGGGGAGGTGCTCCCAATGCATGGTGAAATGTGCATGTGGGGCGCCAATCTGAACTCCTAGGGGCCCAATAGGGGCAGGGTGCCATATGCTTAGACTCAGCGGGGTTAGTGGGGGTATGGAGTTGATTTGGATTGAGATTTCAATACATGGACATTGCAAATAGTTTAAATTTCATTGGATGGTTTAGATCGGCCAAATCATCTTTGTGTAGCAAAAGATAGATTGGGCGATGTAGGAAACTTCCCCCGAACTTGATTTATTAGGAAACGTGAAGAGATGAATTCAGATTGAGGTCAAGCTTTAATGTCACTACTACCTTATGGTATAAATGACCACATCTCACAAGAAGTTTCTTTTGAGTCAAACCATAACTTAGCACATAACCGGTTTGGAAAACCAATCTAGTGGGTTACAATTGTAGAGGTACATTACTAGTCATCAGATGCATTTGTAGGAGGTACATACAGCAGCAATATATGGGCATTTCTGAAAAAGTCACAAAGTCCACATAAGTTCATCCACTACTAATAGCTAAGTGAAATGAAAAATTCCAGAATATGATCGTTAGATTGATCACCTGAAAGTACAATGGGCATGCATCACACAGATAAGGCCATTGCCCAATGTTAGTCCATTTGTCTGGGGTCTTGGGAGGGATAAGACTCGATACAGTCCTAACCTTTGACATTTTTGGCACAAAGTGACCACTCTCAGACTCAAACCTGCATTGTCACACTTTCCAGCCCGAGATTTTACCATTATACCAACTAATAGCCCCTGAATGCATGACAAATCAAAGTAACAAAACATTACCTGCATGGTAATGTTTTGGACCAGAAGGCATTGATTGAAAGGAAGATCAGTACTAGTTTTCATGGCAATGATGCTCAAACTTGATTCTCCTACACTTTTCTTCCACAAAGAAGTTATTGAGCAAAGTTGTGGATATAGCTATAGTTTGTTAACAGCATCTAGTTCAATGCTTAAACTTACAAAATTCAGATAGAAAAGCAGCCTCACAAGTCACAATTCAAAGCTCAAACTTGCTGGGTCCAACTTCACTATTTCCTTTGTGAACTATATTCAATATCTAGTTGATCTGGAACCAATGGCCACAATATCTGTCTTATTTACCAACCTGCTTGCTGAACTTTTAAGGCAGGACACCAATTAAACTTCATATCACAGGTTGTAATATGCTCAGTCGAACCATTGTTTTTACCCATCAGGGAAAAAAGATTCACATTCTGAAACTTCAAGCATATTATAGTTAAAAACTTGGAAGAATATGTACTATCATGGTAGCGTATATTGAGCATTCTACCCTTTT